CTGTATTGATAGACCTCTCCAAGTAACTCTTCACATTTTCTTTCCCTAAGTAATCACTAAGTGTAAAAGTTGGGATCAGAGCAGTTGATTGAATGCTTGTGAGGTGAGTCTTTGGGGCATTGACGTCAAGCTCCAGACTTCTGGAGTCCACTTCTGGGTGAACAATGTAGAAACTGTGGTTAAGCACTGTGAGCACCACTTAGCATTTGTTTGGCCAATTTTCCAAAGAACATCTTCCAACAATCACCCATCTAATAGCTGAGATTTGCCCTCCAGCTCTAGTCTATATTCCTTTAACACTAACTGGAAATCCTCTCTGAAGCAATAGGAAACAATTTATTGGTCAGAATTTTTTTAAAGAAAGCTCAAGGATTGAGAAGGAAAACAAAATAAATGTGGGCCAAGATTCTCAATGGTGTGTGAATAGCGTAAATATAATGAATGTAGTTATGCAGTGATAGTGCTTAGGGACAGACAGAATTCTAAAAATTTGGGGAATGGAAGGGGCTTTCTTGAGAATCCCTGACAAGAAAAATATTGCCATGACCCCAAAATCTGGAACTGAGGTGAATTATGTGAAGTCTTCCTGAGATTGAAAACTTTCTTGCTCTTTTTCAACATGGCTATTTAGTGGCCAAGTGACAGAAGGATGGAGGAGAGACAAGGATGATTGTGCCATGTTCTGGTAGCTGGATGAAGAACAATGCTCTCATCCCTGGTACCTCCAGAGAACCTTTGGGAAGTCCCAAAGGATGCCTGTGTCATCATGTGCCTGGCTACTAGAAGATAGTGGATAGTACAATCCACCCTGCGCTCTTTGGTCCTCTGGGAAGAATCTATTACAGGTGGAAAAATCTAGACTATCGACTACTTCCCAGAGGGCCTTCTCTATGACCGCTCCTAGACTATGGAATGGCCTGCCGGACGAGATCTGTCATTTGTCAACTCTAGAAAGCTTTAAAAGAGCTGTCAAGACAGATCTTTTCTGGCAGGCCTTTCCCAACTAGTCTCCCCAGTCATGGAACCGGTCTTTATGTTTCTTTTCCCTATTCTCAGCTGCCATATTTGCTGCCACTGTAATTATTATAATTATGGTATTATTGTAAATTTCAGTTTTTAATTTTTGGGCTTTTGCCTCATTTTAAACTATTAATTCAATGTTGTTTAATAATTTTTAAGGGGTGGGAGGGTTAGGGTGGGTGTTGATCTTATCGTATTGTATTTTTATGTTGGAAGCCGCCCCAATTGCAATGCAGAGGGGCGGAGTATAAATAAATTTTTTTATTATTATTATTATTATTATTATTATTATTATTATTGTCAATAATACTTGGCTTCTCCATCCTTTTGAACCAGCCACACACCCTTTGCTGTCCCCAGTTTTCCCCTCAGAAACTACATGGCTGCATCAGAAAGGTAGAGGCAGCCAAAGATTGTCCAACTACATTCTGATAGCTGGCGCATCATAATGCAGGCATCCTTCAGGGTCTTCCAGAGCAGTCAGAGTACATTGTCATTGTGTATCTATCAGATTGCAGTCAGATGATCCTGGCCTGCTGCACTCCTCTCCCACCACTAAATGGGTGTGTTAGGGGAGGAACAGAAAATAGTGAGCCCACCACACAGTTTTTGAAGACATCCTTGCAGCAAGAAAAAAACTGAATGAACTATTTGTGGAGCAAATTTACTGAAGGGTCTCATTCATAGTTGTGCTCTACTACTGTGTAGTTGAACACCAGTGTTGTGAAACTAATTGCGTACCTGCCTTTGCACTTGTTTAATGTCCCATTGTGCAATGAGGAATGCACAATGGCTTTTTTTTAACCTAGTGAATCAGGTTCAACATTCCAAGCACTAACCTGCCATCTAAGAATATGCAGCTTCTAGTACAATGGCTACATTTGTGGAACTCCACTTATGCTGCCATGAATTGAATACATTCATTGTGCAAAAAGGTACAACCATAGTTACACATCTGCATGGCACCAACAGGACTTCATCCATAGTCTCCAAGGATGTAAAGGATAAATTATATCTATTTATTTATTTTATTTATATCCCTGCTTTTTCCAAGAGTGGGATTCAAGGCAGCTTCCAATCTGAGAATAGAGGCAATTTAAGTCTAAAATTAATAAAAGTGTCAAAATTTAAGGCATAATATTTTTAAAAGGCAATAAAAGCAAAGTATAAAACACATCCCAATAAAAGCTCCATCATAACCCCACCCCTCTACAGGTGAGGCTGGTTGCCAAATGTCTACCAGAATAAGAAGGTCTTTCTTTACCAACAGAAAGGCTATAGTGACAGAGGCAGCCTTCCCAGTCTCAGCTGCGGGTTTGAAACCTGGGTTTGAAACCTGGGAACAGCCATCAAGATGCCCTCTGTTGTAAATCTCAACAGAGCAACCCTGATACAGCTGTAATACCAAGAAACTAGTCATGTGTAGGAATCAGTATCTAACAATAGCCATGCCCAGCATAATTGTTGTTTCCATCATACTATTTATTTATTCATTTGCTTTTAAATTTGACTCTCTGTATCTACACATGTATAATTTGAAAGTAATCATGTTCTTCAATAAACAGAGGGAGCCACTCCTGGATCACTAGAGAGGAAATGCCCATTGATCTCAGGAGGAAGGGTTTTGTGATGCATCCCCTCTTGGG